TAGCGATCAGTATCGTTTTCAGTGCACTTTCTGCTTTCCTGACGTTCTTCAGCGACCTCATGTATTTATTATGAGTGCAATCATTAAACTTGGCTTTGTGGCTCCCTTGCGAATTCCTCAGATGTCCCGCCGACTACAAGGCTTCGGTGCGAGGTAGAAGGGTAAAAGAGTGATAGTTGTTTACGGTAAAAAAAGGGAAGACAAATAATTACTTCTTGAACCCGTATTTTTTCCGTTCATAGAACAAGTCCGTTTTAGCACTGCCGAGATTGACAATTTTCGGACAACCATCTCGCTAAAACCACGTCAGACAAAAGAAAAACACTTACATCTTTTTCCATGATAGTGCACTGCCTGCAGTAGTAGGCATCAGAAACTCCAGGACCGCCGCAAATGACACAACGACCTTGATAAGAACCAAAATTACATTCGTCGCATATTCTGACGAGCGTGCAGGGGCGAACATAGGAATCGCATATCACACACTTTCCGTCATCTTTTTCACAGAGACGTCCGATGGCTAAAAAGGATAGTAAAAACATGAGGACACTTACAAACACCGGTTTGCTTGCGACAAAACACGAGATCGGGATGATGCTTAGCCATAATTATTTAGGGTACAGCAGTCAAGGATTTAGGGAGTTTGGGAGAGTTAAACACCGAAGCACAGGTAAGACAGTAGCCACATGTAAGGACAGAAATCACCGCTCATGGTATATATTGAAGTTTACTTTTACAGTCTGCATGGAAATCGAAGGCAAGCAGGGTGGCAAAGGTTTTATAGCTTCGTCAGAGCTTAAAATATTTACTCAGGAGAAAAATGTATATCGAGTATGTATTACGGATATTGTAGGACTTTTGTGTAAAGGTTGTGGTTCTAGTTTTTCCTGACGTATGACTTTTGACTGATCCATTTTTTGCTCTATATTTAAGTGTTACTAGCTCTTATACGCACGGTTTTGGGTATTTTATCATTAATTTCTTGCCGATAGACCTGGTAGTGGCTTATTTCATACACATATATTGGTCCTAATCTGAGATCCTATAGCAGCACTAAGCAGAGCGTGCTTGCTTACAAAAAGAGGCTGCTTCCCGACCAAGCACGTTTATTAAAATGGGTACGGCGATGGCTCCTCATTTTGTTCAGGAAGTCAGCCCTTGCAGCGCCAAAGCGATGTCGTCATCCAGCTGCCAAATTCATAATTCTTTCCCCCCAATACTTCTGTGCTGTATATAACAACAACAACAACAATCCACAACCGGTGTTCTATATTTCCTCTTTAAGTTGGAAACTGGGCATGCGCTTTAGGATAAAAGCTAATGAAACATTTACATTTCTATTTTATGTCTTCTTGATCTCCTATCAATATATGTATTATTATTACTATTATTATATAGAAGCTCAAAGTTGTCTGCGTTATTTCACAAAAGTCAACGTTTTTTTATCTTCGTTGCATTTTGTGGATTGTTTAATAATGATGCTATTGTGCGTATCTGCCATTTTGCGGTGTCAACAAACTCGCTCATTCTCTAGCAGAATGACCTTTCTCCTGAGTAGTGGATTCTTGCAGCCTTGATTAAACCTTAATGCCCTAGTATTTCATCGGCAAATGATGAAGTTTTGGTTCTTTCGGACGCATACCTTCTGATAGTTTCACAAACCTTCGAACACAACTTTCTCATTTTACATGAAGATTACTGGACATTTTGACAACATTCGTGGGAAGGAGGTCAAACTTTTTCCCACTTTCATGAGAGTAATTGAAGGTTTAAGAGACCGTCTCCAGCCTAGCTTGCACGCTATAACTAACTCTTCATAGGACTCTTTTGTCCGCCACGGTATCTCACGAGAACGTTCCATTATCTGCCTATGAATCTTATAGTATACATTAATACGATATCCTTTCAAATCCATATCTCAGAATAGTGCTCAG